GGCAGTCTTTTCTGCCTCCTCATCAGTGCTAAGGATGTCTGACTGCAGTTAATGCCTGCTCCCCACTGGCAAGTGGACATCCTCTGAGGGCTGCCCAGGCTGCCAGAGGGATGTCTGATTGCCAGCTTAGGCCAAATCCCCCCGGGGAGCGGTCCTAAGCCAGCAGGTGGTCATCCCCTGAGGGGTCCCAGACTGCAAGAGGGCACAGGCCGGGCTGAGGGCCACCTCTCCCCCACCCCCCCGAGTGCACAAATTTTTGTGCACCGAGCCTCTAGTGTAGTTATAAAATACGATGTTGTTATATGAATGAAGTGAATTAATGCATGTAAAACTCTTACAAAGTTCCTTACATAGCAAACACTCAATGTACTAGCTATTATAATTCATTTTCATCATCATTTTTCGCCACCAGAATTTATCTTAAAAAAATCAAATACTTCGTATTCTCTTTATATGAAATTCAAAATTAGTATTTTCTTTTATAGATGTAGAATTTAAAAATAAGATATAGAACAGATATAAAAGAATAAAGAACTACTTTTCATTCACTGAGTATTTCATTGTATGTATTTATACGTGCTAGGCATCATGTTAGATATTGGGGATAAAGTGGTAAGAGGTTAGCTCTAGGCAATTTCCTTTCTCATTTAATGTCTTAAGTTTTGTTGGACTAGTTGGTACAAAATACAAATAAAAAATAATATGGCATTAATACACATTTTCCTTTCCTTTTGCTAGTGTACTGTTTTATTTCTGTACCTGTGTATTTTTTATTAATTATTTTAAATAAGCATGTTGTTTTAAAATCTCTGTAAATGTTGAAGTACTAGGTTATCTATATTAGAGAAGATTTTCTTGTTCAAACTTTAAAATAAAATTTTACATGGTCCAAATTACCATAAAAGTGTATTTCCCTTACATTTTGTTTAAATGCATGAGTATAAACTTCTTATCTTTTGTGTTTTCAGAGAATCCTTGATACGAACTGCATTTCAGTGTCTTCAGTTGGTTGTGACAGATTTTCTACCAACAATGCCTTGTACTTGCCTGCAAATAGTTGTAGATGTTGCAGGTAGCTTTGGACTTCATAATCAAGAACTTAATATTAGTTTAACTTCAATAGGTTTATTGGTATGTATCATTGCCTTTTAATAATATAACCTATAGAGTGAATGGTAAGCAAATAACTTGGCTCTATAGGAGTCATTTAAATGACTCTGATACCAAACATATCTTCCTTAAAGGATTAAGTGACACAATTTAAGAAATAATTCATTAATAGCAGACTATTTGGAATAATTTTGACATATTGAGCTGAAATTTGTTTTTTACATGGTTTTCTTGGGAGGATTTTATAAACTGGTAATAGTACATAGAAGAGAGTCAGTTGACTCTCATGTAAAGGTTAATTGATTATCAATATTATTTTGGAAGCAACATTTTGATATACTAATTATTTAGTAAATAAAACTTCCATAAAAGGCTTCACCATTTATCGAGTCCCATAGCTTGTCAACACTGCTTTGTTAGCTGTAAGGAGACTGCACATGATAGTGCAAGAGCCCAGACTGTTAGACATGTATTTTAATTCTGTCTGCTCCTTGTTAATTGTAATTATTGATCTTCTGAGCCTCATTTTACTTATTTTGAATATAAAAAGTAATAAAATGTAAGTTAGGATATTGTTAAATATTACACAAAGTAAACGTAGAGAGCTGTTGCCAATACAAGTTTATTTAAAGGCATTTATTTAGACTCTTAAATGTATATTATAACTCAGAATTTTACAAGTCAATTTAAATACCCCTTACAAGCTAGATAACGTAGTATTTTGCTATTAACATGTTAAGTGCCATGTCAGTCACCGGTGACTGACACTATACTTTCCATCAAAAGTATAATCATGAGGGAAAACATTGGCATGTTCTGTATGTATATAATTGCTCCTAAAGAGTAGTTGATTAATTCAATGTTGATTTCTGCTAGGTATTACTTCCTTTATTTTATATTTATGTTCACAGATATTGGACTCTACATTTTTACCATTGATATAATTCTCATTGATTTGCATACCTTGCTGTGGTTGCAAATGAAGTTATAAGATATATTTGGAAATAGTAATTGCTCTTGTATGAAGTTACAAAATACTAACTTCATATTATATTAAGGAATGATATTAAGGAATTGTTAATAATTTTGTTAGTATGATAATGGTTTCAGGGTTATGTTTTTAAAGCCTTTTTGTAGAGATTATAAAATAGGTATAAAGTAATAAAATATTAATAATTTTATCTAGGTTGTGGGTATATAAACTATTGACATACTCCCTATTTTTCTGTGTTCTTAACATTTTTCATAATAAATTTATAAAAAATATTAATGTTAGCAAAATATTTCTCCCCCATATTCTCCTGAAATCAGATAGAAACACTTGACAGAGAAAGAGATGTTTTCATTAAATCCCTTCTTCTAGATTTCTGAAGTAATTTTTAGAAGTTTTATTCTAAAAAGTAAAACAACTGTGGGTTGCATATTTATATATGTCTTTAAAATAAAATCTATGGATAAAGTGATATTTTTCTACTTTGCTTTTTAGTGGAATATTTCAGATTATTTTTTCCAAAGAGGAGAAATTATTGAAAAAGAATTAAATAAAGAAGAAGCAGCACAGCAAAAGCAGGCAGAAGAGAAAGGGGTTGTTTTAAATCGGCCATTCCACCCTGCACCACCATTTGATTGCCTTTGGTTGTGTCTTTATGCAAAATTGGGTGAACTATGTGTGGACCCCCGACCTGCTGTCAGGAAGAGTGCAGGGCAAACTCTGTTTTCAACAATTGGTGCACATGGGACCTTATTACAGCATTCAACATGGCACACTGTTATTTGGAAGGTACTGTAAACTAGCTTAAGTTATCAGCTTTTAATTGGAACACACATATATTTTTTCAATTAAACTTTTTCCTGTTTACTTTTTCTTTCTGGAGGGAAAACTGGTTCTTGTATTAGATCCCTTCACTTTAAATTTAATCTTCCATTCCTTTTTTCATCTACTTTGGGTACCATCTCTTATTATTTATTTATTTATTTATTTATCTAATTCTTTATTGTTTAAAGTATTACATCTTTCTCTTTTTCCCCCATTGACCTCTCCCTGGCCATCCCCACCTCCCAGCACATGCCCTCATCCCCCTAGTGTCTGTGTCCATTAGTTATGCTTATATGCATGCATACAAGTCCTTTGGTTGATCTCTTAATGTCCCCCCCATGCCCCACCCCTGCCTTCCCTCTGACCTCTGAGGATTGACGGTCTGTTTGATGCTTCTCTGTCTCTGGATCTGTTTTTGTTCGTCAGTTTATGTTGTTCATTATATTCTGAAAATGATTGAGATCATGTGATATTTTTCTTTCTCTGACTGGCTTATTTTGCTCAGCATAATGCTCTCCAGGTCCATTCATGCTGCTGTGAATGGTAAGAGTTCTTTCTTTTTTACAGCAGTGTAGTATTCCATTGTGTAGATGTACCACAGTTTTTAATCCACTCATCTGTTTATGGGCACTTAGGCTGTTTCCAAATCTTAGCTATGGTGAATTGTGCTGCTATGAATGAAGTGTTCTTCTTTTCAAAAGCCAATGGTCAGGTTTGGTGGTACTTATATCTGTTCTGGCTTCTGATTTTCCATCAAAATTAATATCTATGAACCCCATGGTTCATCCTGTCATATTCGTCCTGTCATATTCACTGTGCTCAGCACCCTATGGTTCCTCATTGCTGTTTATATTTGCATTTCTCAGATGATTAGTGACTTTGAGCATGTTTTCATGTGTCTCTTGGCCTTCTATATGTTCTCTTTCGAAAGGGGTCTATTTAGGTCCTTTGTCCATTTTTTGATTGGATTGTTTATCTTCCTTTGGTTAAGTGGTATGAGTTCCCTATAAATTTTGGAGATTAAACTCTTATGGGATATAACATTGGCAAATACTTTCTCCCATGCGGTGGGCTCTCTTTTTGTTTTGTTGATGATTTCTTTTGCTGTGCAGAAGCTTTTTATTTTGATATAGTCCCATTTGTTTCCATTGTCCTAGGAGCAGTATTTGTAAAGATATTGCTACGACATATGTCTGCTATTTTTAAAAATATTTTTATTGATTTCAGAGAGGAAGGGAGAGGGAGATAGAAACATCAGTGATGAGAGAGAATCATTGATTGGCTACCTCCTGCACGCCCCACACTGGGGATTGAGCCTGCAACCCAGGCATGTGCCCTGACTGGGAATTGAACCTGGAACTTCCTAGTTTATAGCTCGATGCTCAACCACTCAGCCACACCAGCCAGGCTGTCTGCTATTTTGCTGCCTATGGATTCTTCTGAGATTTTTATGGTTTCCCATCTTACATTTAAGTCCTTTATCCAGTTTGAGTTTATTTTTGTGAATGGTGTAAGTGGTGGTCTAGTTTCATTTTTTTGCATGTATCTGTCTAATTTCCCCAACTTCACTTATTGAGGAGACTGTCTTGACTCCATGCATCTGTGCATTTGATAAAACTGAAAATGTTAGCTTTGTCATATTTTAAATTGCACTTTACGTAAAACAGATTAAATATTTAAAACCTCTTTTTTTTTTGTCTTCATGTCTTATCTCTGTCTCTGATTTCTGCCTTTGCCCTTCCCTTTTTCCCCATTTTCCCAAGTGGTAAAAATAGGAATTGCTAAACCATTACACATAATTCAAATATAATATAATCAAATGAGAATTTTATGAATTAAAGAGTATCAACAACTGAAATTTACTTGTAGAATCATCAAACAAAAGTAACCTTCAATTGGTAAATTCTACGTTCATTAAATATAGTTTTCTTTTTTATCCCCTTTTAAATACTTCCTTACAAAGTCAACAGCTAGGCTCTTCTTTTTTGTTACATCTGTTTCATTTTAATAAAATTCTACTTATAATCCTTTCACTGCTTTTGTGAATTTTTGAGATCAGTAAATTTGACAATAGGCAGCATAGTAAACCTTAATTGTATTTAACAATGTTTTCAATTTAATAAAGAGATCTCAAAATGTCTTCTTAAAAAAATTAATAATGTACATTTCCTAATAAAAATAACTAAAAGCCCTTGTGTGTTCTGTCTCAACTTTATCCCCTGGCTCCTCAGATCAGAAACATGCTTAACTTTTTTGTTACCGTTTTTAAAAGCAAACTGATAATTTCTCTTATAGCTGTTTTCCTTTCAACAGCTTCATTGTTTATCTTGCTGTTTACTTCTCAGGGATTTATTTCTTCCTCACCTTCCTTGCACTTCCTTATCCCTTATAATTTGATTTCCAGATCATTCTACTTAAGAGTCTCTTAAACCTTTGCCAGTAACAGAATCACCTGGAGGACTTATTAAAGCACAGATTGCTGAGCCACCACTCTATCCTCTAGAGCAGAACCTTTGTTCTGCCAACGGGCATTTGGATACTTACAACATCATTTGCTTAATAGAATTCACTTACTGTAAATGTATGTTGTTATGATAAAAGTGCCTAGATTTATTGAATTTCTACTCCCACCTTCTGTTGCCTTGGCAGGGCCAGATCAAATGATTTCTCAGGCCTTATACTGCCCATCGTTCAGGCTTTCTCTACCCCTGCTCTAGAGTTTGACTTTTTACCCTTGTCCTGGGGCCTGAGAATTGCATATGTATGACGCTACGGGTGATGCTAATGCTGATGATTTTAAGACCATATTTGAGAACTACAGAAATTGTTCACAGGCTACAGGTAGTCTTCTAATTGCCAAGTTTTTTGCCATATGCTCATTCCTTATCCTCCTAATTTTTTTGTAGCTTTTAACCTTGTTGATTAGTTTCTCCATGAAATTTCTTTCCTTGGTTTGTTTCACAGCATGCTTCTGGTTCTCTATTCAATTTTTATTTTAATTTATTTTCTTATTCCTTCTTCTCAATCTACCCTTTAAATATAAACATTTTCCAAGTCCTAAAACCATTTCCTGTTTCATTTTTCCAAGTATCTTCATCTAATCCTGAAGCATCAGTTATAAGCTCTAGCTAAATGTCTCCCATAATTGTATTTTTTGCCTGGACCCTTCTCATTAGTTTTGTTCTTTTTTTTTGATTAATTAAATCTTTATTGTTCAGATTATTACATTTGTTCCTCTTTTTTCCCCCCATAACTCCCCTCCACCCAGCTCCCACCCCACCCTCCGCCCTCACTCCCCACCCACTGTCCTAATCCATAGGTGCACGATTTTTGTCCAGTCTCTTCCCGCATCCCCCTCACTCCTTCCCGCCCCCCAGAATAGTCAGTCCACTCCTTTTCTATGCCCCTGAATCTATTATAATCACCAGTTCATTCTGTTCATCAGATTATTAACTCGATTTTCA